CCAGGGATTTACCTGAAGGGAGCTGGAATGTGCCCAGGGCTGTGCCTGGAGGGAGCTGGGATGTGCCCAGGAATTTGCCCAGGGATGAGCCCAAGGATTTGCCCAGGGATGTGCCCAGGGAGCCGGGATGTGCCTGGAGGGAGCTGGGACGTGCCCAGGGATTTTCCCAGGGATTTTCCCAGGGATTTTCCCAGGGCTGTGCCCACAGAGCCGGGCTGGGCAGCGATCCGGGCGGGCAGGGGGCTGCAGCAGGGTGGGGGCAGAGGCAGAGCAGCCCCTCCCAGCTCCCAGCCCCAGCTCTGCCATTCCCCAGCCCTGCAGGAAGTTTTACCTTTCTTGGCAGCACAGCAAAGAGCTCTGGGCTCCTCCCAGTTCACATTTTTATCTCTTAGGGGCAATTTTATGCCCCCAAATTGTGTTGAGGGCTCACTGCACACCCCCCCACTGCTGTGGTGGCAGCGGAGCCCTGGGGTCTGTGGGAGAAGCTGGGTGAGGAGGATTCTGCTCCCCAGGATCCACTGCCAACCCCAGCAGCAAAACACAACCTGTGCTGGGGGTCTCAGGGAAAATGGGGTTTGGGATGAGACTGGCACCAGCCAGCTGGCAGATTTCTGTCCCCATGGCGTGGTTTGGGTTGGGAGGGACCTCAAAGCCCACCCAGTGCCACCCTGCCATGGCAGGGACACCTCCCACTGTGCCAGGCTGCTCCAAACCCCATCCAGCCTGGCCTTGGGCACTGCCAGGGATCCAGGGGCAGCCACAGCTGCTCTGGGAATCCCATCCCAGCCCTTTTCCAGCCTCCCAGGGAGGAATTCCTTCCCCATATCCCAGAACCCTGTCCCCTCTGGCAGTGGAAAGCCATTCCCCTTGTCCTGGCACTCCGTGCCCTGTAAATGCTCTCTCTCCATCAAACACAGACAAGTTTCCCTTCAGCTGCTGGTTTGAACTGGTGGAAATGCAGGAGGGGAAAAAAAGCAACCATCAAACAGATGAAAAAAGGAAAATCCCAGGAAAATCCTTTCCTCCTCCTGCTTTTAGATGCTGGCTAATACTCGAATTTCACCTCTCTGCAGAGTATTTCAACTTTGCTTGTGGTTCTGCTGACATGGAAATTAATGAAGCCCCATCCTCCCGTGGCTTAAAAGCATTTTTAGTTGGCATTACAATTCCCAGCCCCAGCTCCTCCATTACAATGCTCTGCATGAAACATTAGAAAGCCCTAATGGGGTTATTCATGCCTGGAACAGAGCAGCTCTGTACCTGAAGCTGCCTGGAAAAACAAGAAGCAGGCTTGGAGAATTCCCTGCTTGGAAACTCTGAACGCTCAGGGATGCAGCACCCCAAAATTTTAGTTCCAGCTCGAGTGATTCCGCTGGATACAGAGAGGGTTGTGGCACGGAGAGGCTGTTTAAATTGAAATATCACCACGTGGCACCCACTAGAGAAAGGTTTGCAGTGGCTCCTTTGAAAGGCACCTCTGCTGGGGCTTCAATTTTCCCTCATCCTTCCACAATTCCCAGCTCTGGTGGGAAAAGCCTTGGAGGAACAGATTTGTGGCCACTCCCCTCTCATAGAGCTGAAATCAGGAAAAAGTATTTCTGAATTCCCAATTTTTGGGGTCTTCCCCACGGAAAGGCACTCTGCTCCCAGCTGGAGCTGTGATTCCCAGCTTTTCCAGCTTTTCCTGCTCTGCTTTCAGCCCCCAGTGTCACCCAGAGCCTCCTGCAGCCTTTGAAGCCCAGAGCTGGCAGATCCAGGAGGGCTGGATTTGGATGCCACAGGCAGAGCAAATCCACGTGTTTTTAATGAAAACCTTCAGTCTGGGCAGGCTGCTTTGGGTCTGTGTCTTCTGAGAAGCTCATTAAAAGGCTGAGAGCAGCAGGATTGTTAAATTCCACTTGGATGTAATGGATGGAGCAGGGACAGCGTCAGGAAAAATATTCTGGTTTATCTTGAATTTTTTTTTTTCCTTCACATAAAAAAGTTCACTGAGCAGTTCTGCCTTCAAAACCACATCAAATGCATTTCTCAGTGTCCTCACCCCCTGCCCTCTGCTCTCCTTGAGCAGAGGGAACCTGCTGCCAATCCCTGCAGCAAAACGGGATTGAAGGAATGGGAAAAGAAGATGGGAAAAGAAGAAATGGTTTGGAAAGATCTGAGCTGGTGACAGCAGAGAATTGGGCTCAGAGGAACCATTCTGCTGAAAAATCACCCCAAAGCAGGTGATGACTCCCCATCCCACCTGAGAAGGAGCTGGGTCCTGTGCAGGGCTGTGTCCTGCATGGAGCAATCCCTCTGCCAGGCTCCAAATCCTGGATCCAGCCTGGGATTGGCACCCAGATCACCCAGCTGAGGTTTAACCCATGCCAGGGCTGTGCTCTCCATGAAACAATCCCTGTGCCAGGCTCCAAATCCTGGATCCAGCCTGGGACTGGTACCCAGGAGCACCCAGCTGAGGTTTGACCCACTCCCAGAATTGTATTTTCCACAGAACAATCCCTCTGCTGAGCTCCAAATCCTGGATCCAGCCTGGGATTGGCACCCAGATCACTCAGCTGAGGTTTAACCCATGCCAGGGCTGTGTTCTCCATGGAGCAATCCCTCTGCTGGGTTCCCAGATCCCAAATCCTGGATCCAGCCTGGGATTGGCACCCAGATCACTCAGCTGAGGTTTAACCCATGCCAGGGCTGTGCTCTCCATGAAACAATCCCTCTGCCAGGCTCCAAATCCTGGTTCCAGACAGGAACTGGCACCCAGATCACCCCCCAGCTAAGGTTTAACCCATTCCCAGAATTGTATTTTCCACAGAACTATCCATGTGCCGGGCTCCAAATCCTGGATCCAGCCTGGGATTGGCTCCCAGATCACCCAGCTGAGGTTTAGCCCATTCCCAGCCCCAAGCCCAGCCTGCCACAGCTCCGTGGTCACTTTTGTGTGTGCAGGAAGGGACAGATCCCCCAGCCCTCAACCCCCAGGGGACATCACAGACAGGGGACAGGACAGACAGACAAGGTGCCAGGCAGACAGCAAGCCCAGAGGGTGCACTGGGGCCGAGGCTGGATTTTCCTCCTGTAAAAACACAAATTTTCCCTCCTCTCCTGGTCTGGCAATGCTGGGAATGCTGGCCGAGGTAAAAGCAGGGATCTCTGAGCTTTCCCACACTGCTCCCTCCTCTCCCTGGGGTGAGCAGGGTGCTCCACGGGGGTGACACAGAGTGCTGGGACACATGGAAGCAGTGGAAGGGACACTTGGAAGCAGGGGAAGCTGCCAGCTGCTGTCACCATGCAGATCCCACAGATCCACGAGCACACACACGCTGCCCACAGTCACAGCTCGCATCTTTCTGAGTCTGCCACGGTTTTTTCATCAAATCCATTAGTCACCTAAACCACCCAGGAGGTTCAAACCCCTCCCAGTCTATAGAAAAAAAAAAAAAAAGAATCCTTTGGAATGGAAACAGCCAGTTTCCCAAATATGTAGCAGATTATTTGGGTTCACCTTGTTAAAAGCTCCAGTTTGGATGCCAAGCTGTCCTTGCAGGCAGAGCCAGACAGTTTCGGGGAACCTTCTGGAAGCCCAGCACATGGCCAAATGTTTTTCTCTTCTCAGCTGCTCTACTGACTTGATCCCCTTCCAGAAATCTGTCCTCCTCCCTGTGTGCTCTCCACGAAATGTTACAACCCTCATCTGTGCAATGGCTGGGCTGAAATAGCTCCTTGGAGGTGGTGGAGAAAGAGGGACAATGTCACCGTGTCCATCACGTTGACAGGGACTGGCTCTTTCTGGTGTCTGAGCTGTGGAGTCACAGCCAGGCTTTAACAGGATTTATTTCCTAATCAGGAGCTGAGCTGTGCCTCCATGTGCCTTCTCTAAGGATGCTTAAAATTGCTTTTTTTTTTTTTTAATTTCATATAAACTTCGGGTTTATCCGAATGCCTTTTAGGTCAGCACATCGGGGTAGAAGCTGCACAAGGAGGACCCCTGGGACCCTAAAACTGATTGTCCTCCCTGTGCTGGAAATGCTGCATTCAGTATTTCCACCCTCACACTCCCAAAGCAAAATGGGAAAAGGGGAAGAAGGAAATTGCACTTGAACTCTTGGAAATCTCTGGAGAGACTCTCTGAGCTGGATTTCATTTTGAGCCAGCGCTGAACTCACAGCTGGCCAAAATCAAAAGGGCTTGGCCCTCCCTGTGGTGTCATTAAGGTCCTGTGGGGACAGCAGTGCCACCATTCAGTGCTGAGGTGTCCCCTGGAGCACCAGAGGAGCAGGAGAGGGACACAGCTCCTGCCCCAGACCTGGGGGAAGCAGGGAATGGGATGGGATTTCTCCAGCACAGCCTTGGAGCTGGGCCGCTTTTCCAGCTGGAAGGGGACATCCATGGCTTGATGGAACACAAGGAATCTGTCACAACATTGGGTCCTTCCAGCAGATGACACGGCCAGGCAGAGTCACAGCGCTGCTGCAAGCAGGCAGGGCCAGAAAAGCTGGGCCTGGCCTCTGGCTGAGCTCAGCTTTGAGCTCAGCTTTGAGCTCGGTGGCCAAGCCAGGTTTGCTCACCCCTCAAAAACGCCTGGCGGGCTCTCCCTGCTCACTGAAGCTTCTGGGAAAGCTGGGGCTGCTTTCCTGGCAGTTCTCCTGGGAATACCCTCCCAGGGGAGGTGGGAATGGACAGGTTTGGGGCAGGAAAGGAGCAAAGGCTCAGGTGGTTTTGGGGTTTGATGGTTCCTATGAGATCCACTGAGGACGTTTTGGCTAAAGGCCTTTTTTGGCTAAAGGCCTTTTTTGGCTAAAGGCCCTTTTCGACTAATGGCCCTGCCCCTGGCCAGTGTTCCAAGGACAAAACAGTCCCAGGACTGAGTCCCAGCCTGGAATGGGACGAGCACCTCGTGTCATGGACATGTTCCCAAGAGGAATTCTCCCTGCAGCCCCACGCTGGGGTCCCGTGCTGTCCCCAGGCCGTGGCCCTGCCCATGCCCCCATGCAGTGGCTGTGGCATGCGGGGCCATGCTCCAGGGCTCCCAGACAGCATCAGCCCTGGTCCAGCTGAGAAAAGAGCTCCCAAATCCAGCCCCACCGCCATCCTCAGGTGCAGGCGGCGCATTGAGGCACGGGGGAGCCTCGGGGTGGCCTCCAGGCACAGGGAAGATGCTGACCCCCGTGTCCCTCGTGGCCTTGCAGAGAGGACTCTGCTGGAGGAGCATGTCCCCCCTCAGCCAGGTGAACAAACAGGTGACATTTCCCACCAGGACAATCCCAAGGCGTCACCAGCCCGAGCCTTAAGGCACCGCCGGAGAGGTAAGGATGCAACGCAACCTCGTGAACCCCAACAAAAAACAAACAAAAAAAAACCCCAAAACAACCAAAAACCGGAAGTCTTGCTTTGGGAGCAGGCAGGGCTCAGAAAGATTTTGGTTTGTAAGGCACTCTACCGACCAGACAGGTACATCTCCTTACTCCTGCGCTTTTTCTCCAGGCGGCGCAGCCGCTTCTCCTCCCGGCGCCGCGCCTCCTCCGCCTCCTGGTGCTGCCGGCACTTGTGGAAGTTCTCCACCACCACCCCCACGAACATGTTGAGCACGAAGAAGCTGACGATGAGCAGGAAGGAGATGAAGTAGAGCAGCATCCAAGGGTTGTGGTTCTGGATGGGCTGGGGGGAGAGAAAAACGAGGGAGAAGCGGCACAGACCGGGTGGGTCAAGTCAGTTTTTTTGGAGCAACAAGTTGTGTGGGGAGGAGGGGAGGATAGGAGGAGGATTTTCCCAAAGTATTTTCCTCTCATTCACCTTCTCACTGACTAGAATTTTACAGTTTGGTGCAAAACCCACCCAAAACTGCCGTACAGGATTTGATTATTTCGGCATTTATTTCACACAGCTTCAGCTAAATCTCAGTGGATGAGCATCATCCCACCAGCAAGATTGTTTCAGCTAAAGATAGGCTCCAGATTTTTAATTTTTCAGATGTGGGCTCCTGCTTAATGTTTCTCAGTTGCTACCAGATCTTCAGGAGTGGGGGAAATGAAGTCCAAAGTGTTACTGTGGCTCTGGGTGGGTCCTACTCATGCGAGACTCAACTTCCCACGGAAAATGCCACGAAACTCACAAACTGGATGCCTTTTCCACAACATTCCTGGTGGTTTCCCATCCTCAAGCACCCTCACTTTAATTCATTCTACATCCCCTGGTGAAGGACACATCAGAGCTTGTCCTACATGGGAAGCATCTCCAAAAAATGGAAAAGCATCTCCAAAAAATGGAAAACCCAGCAGCTCAATGAGCAGAATGGAACCTCAAGGAGGTTCTAGAGGTCTTCTGCTTCCTGGGATTTCAAAAACCCCGGAGTGGCCAGGCCTGAGGCTGGAGAGAGGAGCACAGCTGGGCTCTGCAGCACAGGTACCTGTTGGTCAATGCCCACGGCGTCCAGCCCGTCGTACATGATGTTCACCCAGCCGTCCTTGGAGGAGAGGACAAACAGGGACATCAGGGCCTGCAAAACCAACAGAAGGGGTTGGTCCTGCCTTTCAGCCCCCAGAGAAGGAGCTCCCACCTCCTCCTATGGCCTGGCCTGCTTTTCAGCCGTATAAAGCACTTTATTTTCTTCGTTTGCAAACAGGACAGCAAGAAACCTAAAGAATCAAAGGGGCACTTGAGGGATTGCATGCCAAAAGAGTGGCTTAAGGACAACACTCCTAAAACCAAGGAATTGTACAACCACAGCAAGAGATCAAGAGTTGATCTGATCCATATTTACACATTTAGGGTAAAAGACAGAGATTTCCAGCTAAAATCATAGAATGACCAAGGATGGAAAAGGCCACAAAGATCACCGAGTGCAAATATTAACCCACTGTCAGATGACTGCAACATCAATTTTGGAAACTTCCTATGATGGAGGCTCCACAGCCTCCTAAAACCACACATTTCAAGTGTCCATCCATGAAAAGCTGGCACAGAAAACCCCTGCAGGGAGGACTTTACCTGCCCCAAATTGTCGAAGTTGTACTTCCTCCGGACCCATTTGTAGTGAGCGTTGGTGCAGTCAGCCTTCGTGGTGATATTTTTGACATCAGGGCCATCACAGTAGTAGAACTTGCCTTTAAAAAGCTGCATTTGAGAACACAAATTTAAAAAAAAAAAATTGGACAAAAAATAAGCAGCTTTGAAAAGTCTGTTCTCTGATTTATCTTCCTGCAGTAATGTTCATCAGGAAGGGCTGACTGCTCTCCTAATCCTGAGATCCTTGCTGGGAGCAGTGGCCAACCCCACCCTGGATCATTTCTCCTAAAGCCTGGCTCTTCTGCCCAAACTGAAATCTTCCTTTGGAGGCATTTCAGCTCATTATTTCCACCTCAACCCCAGCGGGTGAGAAAAGCAGCTTCTCTTTCACAGCAGTCACTCACAGGGGAGGGAAATACTTTACCTGGACCCCTAAAATACCAAAGATAATGAAGAAAGCACAGCAGATGAGAACAATATTCCCAATAGGCCTCAAGGAAGAGATCAAGGTTTCCACCACCAGCTTCAGACCTGGGGCTCTGCTGATGACTCTGGAAAAAATTAGACAAGACAACAAAACTTTTAAATTTTATGCATGTCTTGTAATCACCCAGCTGCTTCTCCTCTGCTCTCTGGGGCTGGCACAACCCTCCTCTACCTGCAGACAGGGATTTCTTCAGACAACCAGAACATTCCCAATCCCATCAGATGGAATTCAAACAGGGACAGGGGGGCAGAGTGAGGAGGGGAAACTCTCTGTGGGCAGCATATCCCAGTGTGGGAGGTTTGTACCTCACTCCAGGAGCCTGATCCCCCCAAGGGCTCTGATCCCAGCACAGGGACACAGGCAGGACCCTCCTTCCTCTCCCAACACGTGAACATCTTCCCAGTGGGCCTGGAGAGCGCGTCTGGTGCTCCTCCTGCAGCAGTGGCCATGACAACTTTGCAAACAGAGTCATTCCAATTTGTTCCCTAATTAGTTCCTGAACTGGCTCTTGGCTAGCAGAGCCTGTGATCAGCAGCTGCACAGCCAAAGGGTCAGTGGGGAGCAGATTCCTGGTGTGCTCTGAGGCAGGTTTGGGGTGTCAGGAGGAGCAGGACTGTTGCATTCCTGGAGGAGAGCCTGGGGAATGCACTGCCCTCCCTGGGGCTGTGGCCGTGGGACCAGCCCAGCCAAAATTCCCTGGGGAAGGGCCAGGTGGGAGTTCTGCCTGAAAAGCATCAAAGTTGATTTTAGGATGGGCTTGTAGAGGGTGAGTCCTTGCAGGGAGCTGCAGCTCACATGGACAGTGATGCCTTGTGCCTGCCAAGCCCAGAGAAAACGTTCCGTGCTGCAGCATTTCCACAGGGTCTTGTTTGAGAGAAATCACGTGGAGACTGAACTGCACCTCCAAAGTGTTGGGAATGGTCCCTGGAGCCACCCTGTGCTCAGTGAGGCCGTGGTGAGAGGTGATGAATTCCTTCCTATTCATAGGATCTGGCCTAGTTATTCTCAAAGACCAATTCCTCTTCCCCCCCTTCCCTTTCCTGAGAACTCCCTGTGCCCTGAATCCTGTTCCCACTTCTGTGGGTCACACATGGTGACTTGTCCAGGGTGTCCTGGCGAGCCAGAATCACAGATTTCCCGGTCACTAAGGTGACACAGAGCACAAAGAGCTGTTGTTCTTGTGGTCTAAAAGGTTCCCTCTTCCTATCACTCACACAAGCATGGCTTTGTCCCAGAAAGTTTCCAGGTTTTTGGAGGTGACTGTCTCATTCCCCTGAAACTTCAGAAAAAAAAAAAAAGGCTCCTGTTTCTTGCCAAGCAGGATGAAACCAGAACAGCAGCTGATCCAAATTCCCCCCCAAAGCATTATCCCTCTTTATTGTTTAATCATAACCAAAATACAAATTATCTTTACTCCTGTTCTCAAACACTGGAAGCTCTGCTGAGGGAGGAGCTGCTGTGCAGGGATGTTTGCAGGGTCAGGAGAGCAGGGAGGGATGCTGGAGTTTATCAAATCCTCAGAAGGATGCTGGAGCTTGTCAAATCCTCATCAGCACCTGTTCAACTGCAAATCCCTCTTTGCTGGGGAATGCCTGGGAGGTTGTGCAGTTGAAGAAGGATTTGGGAAGAGTGATTTGGGAAGGGCTGATGAAACTGCAGCGTGGAGGAGGCTCTGACTGCCCTCACTCTGGACTCTGACAGCACCCCTCACTCCAAACTCCAGCCGTGTGTGTCCGAGCTGGAGAAGATGAATTGGAATTCCTTTCACTGTTTTTAGTTTCTCACCGAGTTTAGAGATCCCCAAAGATGTTTCTACCCATGTTGTATTTCAATTTTTCGAGCTATTAAGCAGGACCTCGTGTATTTCCCAAACTCTCTGATTTATCAGCCCGTACCGGAGAGGTCTCAGGGTCCGCAGGAGCCTCAACACACGAAGGACTCCCAGGATTTTGGCTCCTCCTGCTGATGCCATGGACACAATGATGTCAATGATGGAGACAAAGACCAGCACTCCGTCCAGGACGTTCCAGCTGCTCTGCAGGTACGTGTTCTCCCCAGAGAAAAAGCCAAGAGCTACCACCTGCAGCCAGGAGAGGGGAGATGTTGGAATCTTCACCCAGATCGTAACTCTGGTCTTTGCCAGAATTTGCTCTGGGCCATGGGATGAAGCTCTAATTACCTTAACCATCATTTCAGCCACGAAGATGGCAGTGAAGATGTAATTAGAGACACTTAGGAATATCCTTTCCTGCAAAACACAGAACAACGAAGAGACACAAGTTAGAAACCCAACATTCATCTTGTAGGGTCTGGTGCTGAGGGGATGAAGATGTGGATGGGGGATGGAGGAGGGAAAAGCCTCTCACCGTGCTCAGGGGGTCGATGTCGGGTCTCTCCAGAGCTATGGTGATGCAGTTGAGGAAGATGAAGACCAGCACCACGTGGTCAAACATTTTGTGGGCAATGACCTTCTGGCACATCACTCGGAACCTGGAGAAAGGTGGGCAAAGCAGATCCTTCAGAAGTTTGGATCAGGATTAAAAAAACCCTCCCGCTGATGTGCCACCAGCAGCAGCCCAGGTGGTGAGGCAGCATCTCCACAGGCTTCAGCCTATCATTAATTATTTATTATTACTAATACTGGCTAAACCACTGACAGCAATGGGGTGAACCATGCCCACACCAAAGGAAAACTTCACCTCACAATCAGGAACAGGATTTCTAAAGCTCTGAGGGATTTTTTCCCCAAGGGGAGACTGGCTACGAATGCAATATTCCATTACCTCAAACACCTGCTGGGCTGGAATTCCACTGGAATTTCTTACCTGTTCTGTGGGGAGAACAAGTAGAGGGACCAGTCCTCGTGAGTCTTGCACCACTGGGGTTTGTAGGGCTCCAGGGCTTTGCGGATCCGGTAGCAATAACTCTGGATAAAAAAGAAGGAACGCCTTTTCTTCCTCTTTTATTTTCCTGCCTCTTCAACTTTCACAGTGTTTTTGTGGAAGGAGGGGGCAGGAAATGGCTTTTTATTGTGCCTGTAGGCGGTCACAGCTTTCGGGACAGAGCTGTGGTGGCCATTATCACATTTGTCTGAGAAAATAAGGGGAAAAGGGGTGGAAAAAGGGAAGAGATGGATAGGATAAAGCAAGACTTCTGGGAAGGTGTCATTTTGAGACACAACTCTTTGTGCCAAACCCAAAAAGGCCTCAGGCAGCCAAAAAATTAAGTGGAAAACACATCTTTTTAGGCTTTTAAGCTTTCATGACACCAAACAGCTCCTGTGAGTAAAGCCATTCACCTGTTGTGTCTGCAGCTCATTCTGGAGGAGGACAATCCAAATCGGCCCAAAAATGAGGCATTTTTGGGAAAAAAAGGGACGTTTTGCCTCATGGGAATGTCACAGGCCTAAAAAGACCTCTTCAAAAAGGGATTTTTCAGGAAGCCAAGCCCAGCTCACCATTCCCAACCCCAGCCTTGAGTCGACAACACCTTTCCACGTCAGATTTCCGCCCATCCTTTTCGGAATGGAAAACCCGCTGGGAAACCTCAAGACTCACATCCTCCACGTCGTCCTCGTAGTCCAGCGCGTCCTCCTTGTGCCCGTCCACCCTGAGGAAGAACTCGGCGGGGCCGTGGCCGGTCTTGCCGTTGCAGCCGCGGAGCTCGGCGGGGCCGAGGCCGAGCTGGCGCACCGAGGGCACCCGCAGCAGCTCGGGCAGCTCCAGGGATTCCGCCCGGCGCGGCGGCGAGGGCCGGCTCGGCGTGCTGGACTTGGCGTCGTCCGAGTCGTCGTCCGTGCTGCCTTTGCCCTCTCCGGAGAGCAGCGATTCCCGCTCTCCGGACTGGTTCTTCTTCTTGAGGCTGGGCGCCCTGCCCAGGCTGTTCCAGCTGGAGCGGCGGCTGCCCCAGGTGCTGCTGGTGGCCCAGTTGGCGCAGGGGGAGCTGCGGAGGCTGGACTGGGAGAGGAGGGAGGGAGGGAAGGGTTGTTGGCAGGAGGAAGACAAAAGGTTGGGGAGTTTTGCCCCAGTTGGTGAAAGCGGCGGCCTCCCCTTCCCGCCTTGGTTTAGCGTTGCCCTGATTTTTAGAAGTTTTATAGTTCTTTTGAAGCGTTTTAAAGTTCTTTGAAAAGTCCTCCGTGCCTTCTGATGTTCACAGATTTCTACCGGAGTTCTCACACTCCTTGCAGGGGGAGGGAGGAGACACGGCTAAAAATTCTTGGGGAGCGTTTAAATTAGGAAAAACATCTGCCTAAAGGAAATATCAACGCTCATTTAGCTTCCCTTAGACTTTGCAGAGCTGCTCCAGTGACTTTGCCATCAGATTAATTGCTAAATTAACTGGATCCTTCCATTGTGGAGGCTGTTCATGTAAATAATGATTGTTTTGCATTCTTCTTTGTGGGAGGAGAGAATTGATGGCCTGTTGGTTTGACCAGTGTGGTTGGAGAGGTGGCAATTCCATCCTCCAATCCACGGTCATTTTTGGAACTCTATCTATTGCAAGGTCAGAAATAAAATTTGCTCTTTTTCTCTTTTGAACTTACCAAGCTTCTGTGTACTCATTTTGTGTCCGATACCAACAGTTCAGGTTGTTAATCTGAGGATTCTTGGCTAGTGTGTTAATTAATGTGACGCTTCCAAGGCAAAAGAAAAAGAGGGAAATCCCCAATATCTATAAGTTTTTACATCCCTGTTTAGGTTGTTAATTTGAGGTTTCTTGGCTAGTGCACTAATTCATGTGGTGGGTTTACCTGCTTCCAAGCAAACGAAAAATAGGGAAATTCCCAACATCTAAAAACTCATACATTTTTAAATGTTTGCTCATGAAGGAGTATCAACTTTCTCAGTATTTAACAGATCGTTAATTCTCAAAGATAATTATTAATTGGTTTTTTTTGTCAACCACAGAATAAACTGCCAGCAGCTTCTCTCAAAGCATCACTTCTGTGCTGCAAAGCCAGCACAGCACCACTCTGATTCCAGCTTTGAGAGGGGAGCACCCGGCCAAGGCCACACTGAAGGTGGTCCTGGACCACACCTGGAGCACAGCCACCACCCCTCCATCCTGGTGACTCCCTGGTAACACCAACTCCCCATTAAAATAAACCCAAAGATATCAGTAAGTGGCATTTTGCTGAACTTTGCTCACGTTCTGGTAGTTTCAGCTCACAACTTCTCCGCCTTCCAAAGGGAACGTGCCTCACCCAAGTGCCTGGTGGGAATCGTGCCCCTCTTTCCTCACTTTCCTCCCACTTTCTGGGTGAAGCAGTGGAGTGAATGCTCCTCCTCCACAAATTTCAGTGCGTGTCAGCACACTGGGGCAGGTACCAGGCAATTCCCAGGATGAGAAATTTTAAGGTCAGCGTGAAAACTCCTTTTCCCTCCACGGCTTCCTCCCAGCACAAACCAAGGCAAACTTTCCTCCTCCTCCTCCTCCTTACTGGAGAGCTCTCCCCAGCCTGCTTCATCTGCCTCTGGCTGGTGGCACTGCCACGCTCCCCGAGAGGGATTGGAAGGATGAACATCCCTGTCCAGCAGCTCGCAGTGCCACGAAAGCCCAAGGCAAACAGCAGCCAGCTCTGTTTTCTTTTCTAAGCCTTTAGGTTGACTGAGCAGCTTAGCAAGGGGGGTGGTGGCAGCGCCTGGCCGTGAGGTGCCTTCACGGTCTGCTGGCCTGATTGGAACGTGATCTCGCAGCTCTGGAGCACAGTGGGATGGACAAGCAGCAGCAGAAATCCACCCTGCCTCGTGCCTCTGCTCCCTGTGTGCCCAGAGCCGCCCTCCCAGCAGCTGGCATCACATCCTGGCATCAGGTGAATGCCACAACCTCCTAAGGGGCCTTGGGGAACTCGGTGCCTTCCAAAGGGATTGTGGAATTATGGAATGGCTGGGCTTGGAAGGGACCTTGAAGGGACCTCATTCCAAAGCCCCTCATCCCTTGTTCCCTCGATTTCCCCTCCAGCAGGGCTGCAGGGCTGACACCAGAGCTCAAGGGAAAATGCTTCATTCCCCTGACAGTGTAAATTCAAGATACAACCCCCAAGCACCAGGGAGCTGCAGGTCTCATCCTCACAGAACAGCTGACAGCTTCTCCAAGACATCCCAAATGGCAGGCGTGCCTGGAAAAGATCCCTGCTGCTCCTCTGAGGGGCCAGGGGCAGCTGGACTTGTTCATGGCTCTCCAGTGAGGTGGCTTGGCAAGGCCTTCCAGGGAAGCAGGAAAAGGCTGGATCCTGCCACATCCCTGTTTTCCCTTTCCACCTCACTGTTCTGCTGCCACTGCCCTGCCCCAGCAGGCACACCCCAGCTCTCTTCTCCTCCTGCTTTTCTACACATTTCCCACCTCCACCACCCTCCTTTTCATTTTCCATCAATGCCCATCCCAAAAGTCTCACACGACCCTAAGCTGGGCTCAGCTGGTGCTGCTAACACCAAACTTGTGGGATCAACCCCTGCAAGGGCCACCCCCTCGATCCTTGTGGGTCCCTGCTGTAGCAGGCACATTCTTCTCTTCTCAAGATTATTTTTCATAGAAGAACACAGAGAGAAGAAAGGGAAAACAATTTCTATTTCTACTCCTTGTTTTTTCCCATGTGGAATGTGTTTAGAGAATTGTTTACCTAAAATGATTGCTTAATTAGATTCTAGTAGAGATTGTTTGAGCCTGGTGGCCAATCCAACCCACCTGTGGCTGGACTCGAGACAGAGGGTCACGAGTTGTGAGTTATGGTAGTTAGAAAAGTAGGTTTGTAGTTTTAGTATCTCCTTTAAACAGTATATTAATGTATTATAGCATAGTTATAATAAAGAAATCATTCATCCTTCTGAGCTGGAGTCAGACATCATTTCTCCCCACCTGATTTACAAAACCCTTCCACCCCAGAACAACCCCACCACGTGGAAACAAAGACCCCACAGTGCTCTGTGCCACTTGCTGGCCAGGGGAACCTACCAAGGACTTCTGGTCGTAGCCCGTGGGGTCCAGCGAGGCGTTGCTGCCCCTCCTCGAGTCCCCGAGGCCGTGCAGGGCCTCCAGGTGTGGGGAGCACTTGGGGGTGGGCATCGGGGTGGCCGCCGTGCGCATGATGATGGGCGGGGGCATGGCCCCCCTGCCCTCCAGGTGCCCGTTGGGGGTGACAGCCAGCGAGTACATCTTCATCTCTGCGTGCAAGGGGACAGAGGACACCACCAGTGAGGGGACACTGCTGCTGGGCACCTCCAGGAACTCTGCCGGGTGGAGCTGTGGGCAGTGAGATCCCCCACGGCGCTGGAAGGTGTCGGGGGAACGCCACGGACTCTTAAGGGGCCTTTGGGAAGTCAGCATCCTCCAAAGGAATCGTGGAATTGTGGAATGGCTTGGCTTGGGAGGGACCCCTGCCTCAGTTTCCCCAACAAATGACTCTGCCCCTTCCTCAGCTGAATTCCGTCTGCTCCCCACCACCAGCATCTAAACAAATCCTGGTTTAGAAGCGTTTGGAGGGATCCTAACAGAGCCCAAGTGGGAATCAAAGGAAGCAGGAGCTGAAGAGGCTCCTGTTCACATCATTCACTGTTGCAAAGCGTGATCCCTTTTTGTCTCCGCTCTGGCTGCAAAGTGAAGGCTGTCACCTCCAATCCCATGGTTTTGGTACACCAGAGCAGTGTGGGCCTCCCCTCAAATCGACTGCCAGACCCTCCTGGAACACAAATGAGCAGCAGCATTTTCCATCCATCAAACCTCACCCAAATGCATTTTGTGTGGGAAACCAAAAGGAACAGATGAGGACTTGATTGATTGGAAAAGCTGCCGAGAAGTGGGGTGAGAACATTGCTGTCAGCAAAGCACTCTGTGCTAATGGTGCAGGGGGAGGGAGGAGACACAGCTAAAAAATTCTTGGGGAACATTTAAATTAGAAAAACATCTGCCTAAAGGAAATATCAACGCTCATTTAGCTTCCCTTACACTTTGCAGAGCTGCTCCGGTGACTTTGCAATCGGATTATTTGCTAAATTAACTGGATCCTTCCATTGTGGAAGCAGAGCTGTAGCTCCCAAATTCCCAGGAAAATGCAGACAACACAAAGCCCCACCTGTTGCTCTGAGGTCTTTCAGCTTCTCAAACTCATCCTCGAAGTTGGCAGATGTCTTGTCCTCATCTGTGTCTGACCTGTTGGCATCTCCCTGCAGAGAGGAGGAGGGTAATTAACAGACACAATTCATTAGCATCCCTCAGCAGCTCAGAGCTACCTCTGCTCCCCGCGGGTGGTTTATGCCAAATTCCCCCTGAGACCACCCTGGGAATGCTCCCAGAATGATCCCTCTCCCTTGTTTTCACTCATTTGGACAGAAAGGACGATGCTGTGGTTGTCACCGTGTCCCTGCCATGTCTCTGTGCTTCCTACACTGCTCCAGGAACAGCAAATCCCAGGGGAAAACATCCCAGAGCAGCTGGAATTGCAGGAATGACTGAAAAACCTGGCATGGCAGGGCTCCTCGTTTGTTCTCTCTGTGATCCCAGCTGAAAGCACTTAGGGTTTGATGTCAAAGGGTGGCAGGGGGTTTTAATTCTGTGTTTGACAGCACTTTCAAATTGACTTAGATCTGGACAGCTTGATTTGCTTTCTCTGTGCTGGCTGGGGTTGTTTTGGGAAATCTCTTGGCAACCTGAGGCAGAGGGAACGAGGCCAGATTGCCTGGCAGCCCTGCAGCAGCTCAGGGCAGGGAACAGCCACCCCCAGCCTGCCTTTCCTCCTGGGAGCCCAGCTCCTTTTCCCTTTTGGACAGATCCAAAAAGGGAACGATCCAAAACATTCCCTTTTGGACAGATCCAAAAGCAGAATTGATCAGGCTGGGACGGAGGAGCCGTCCTCAGGCTCTCCTCGCCCAGGGAGGGATTCCAGCAGGAGGTCAGCAGGATTGCTCAGGACTGCAGAAATCTGTGCAACCTGACAGCAAAGGGCTGGATGGAAGAGCTGGTCCCAGGGGAAGGAGCACAGTTCCTCGCCTGGTGCCTGGACAAACCCCCCCAGTTTGCAGAGACACGGTGCTGAAGTGGCAATGAACTTCATTTTGCCCGTGATTTACTGCAAAGTGCTGCAGCCAGGAGGAGTGAAGGGCTCGAGCTCCCTGATTCATCTTTGTTTCAGAGCAGAAACACCAGTGCAGAGCGGATGAAAGATCTGCACAATTTTGGAAGGTTTGCCTGCTCTCCCAGAGCAGCTCTGGGGGGGATTTTAAAACGACATGGGAACGGTGTAAACACAAATATGCAATTATAGCCCTTGTACTAAACACAAATGGACTAAAAATGGGTTTGTGGCCATTTTAGTCTGTTCTCTTCTAGGAAAACTCCTGGCAAACTTGCTCCAGAGGCAGATCAGGAGCTGGGATCAGGCTGAGAGCGTGTGCTGTGCTTCCCAGGACAATTTTTATTGTCCTTGCTGAAGCCCTGCTGATGGTTCTGAGTCGAGAGCAGCTCTCAGCTGTCCCAGGAGTCCCTCTCCAGATAAATAAAAGAAACACCTGAGCAAATGGAGGAGAAATTCCCCTCAGTGACTCCTGTGACTGCTCAGATCAGCCCCTGTCAGAGGCAAAGTCAAAGAGGTCAAAACAAGAATTCCCAGCGTAGCAGCAGAGCCAGGGATGACAAAAGCAAACCCAGCTCCACGAGAATTTGTCTTTGGTTTACAACCAGAGCAGCCTGGTTTGGTGGAGGGTTCCCTGCCCATGGCAGGGGGCTGGAACCAGAACTTTAAATTCCAACCCAAAGCAGTCCAGGATTCCATCATTTCCCAGCGCAAGGCTTGAGAGGAGCCCTGGCAGCTGAGGAGGGTTTTGTGTAATGAGACAAATGACAAGCCCACAGGCCTGATGTCAGGATTGATAATAAACTGGGGTGGAGAGCAAAATGTGCCCTGCAAATGCCCTGCCTGCGGTTGCTGCCCTTTGGGGTGAATAATCCAGGCTGGGGAACAGCAGAGCTCGCACACATTTAAATCACAGTCTGTATCAGCTCTGAGAGGAGCCATTAGGGCTGAGCAGGGAAACCACAGCTCGTCTGGAGGAGCAATCAGGCACTCAGAGAGCTCTGGCTTCACCTCAGCACCGCG